AACAAATAGACTGTCCGACAGTGTGCTTTGTTTGTCGAGGCACGTGGTGGTTGGAAGAACGTTAACAGTGGTCAAACTGGTACGAATGTATAAATTCTCTGACCAAAGGATTTGGTCACAGGTTACGTTGGGCTCCCGATTGGGGAAATCGGTATTCGCATAATCGATTGTTAGAGGAGCTGAGTGATACGGCTATATTTTGTAAACAGTATCTCTCACACTTCTACGCAATATCATTACACCCTTAGTCTACCTGAATCTCTCCATCTATATTCACCTTGGTACTGCTTCAAACCTAGTTCGTCTCTCTTCTGCTCGATCCAAATTGGCTATCAAAAGACAGCTATCAAAAGGACTGTATACAGGTGCAAAGTTTGTGGTTGTATAAACTGGAAACTAAAACTTAAATAAATAAATGTCTTTTTGCCTCCGTTTTTTATTCATTGAATATATAAATGCACTTTCAACATTCTGGAAGGGGGCTGCGGCCATTGCAAAGGCTGTCTGGGAACACGGGCGGCGGTGGAGCGGTTCGAACTCGAGACTCACTGGTCACAAGTTGGTGACCTAACCATTCGGCTATCACCGCTCTTAGAGTCGTACTGGTGATGAATGGCCATAACTTAGAGCCAACCGTTGTTCTCCTCTTTCCGAGGGACAGAAATCTAGTCCAACACAGTGTGTAGTAGTGTAATTTCCGGGGGAATTGGTGCGTGATAAGGACAATCCTCGGTCTGCAAAAAGCCGAATTATTGCAGCTCCGCTGTCTGCAAGTTGTCTTGAACCGCCTAGGTCCCTTTCATCGAAGGATTCCGCTTGATCGCTCAGGTCGCCGGCGAGTACTTTAAGAACGTTTAGTTTCCGCTGATTATAGGGTGTTGGACTTCCGAATCGGACAGCGATTGATTCTATTTGTATACTTCATGCCATACCGCGGTGTTAGTCGAATGCATTCGTTGTGCTTCTTGAGATAAAGCATTAAATTGAAGGGGTACTGATTTGCAAAACTGAAAGGATCAGCTCGACCTGGAGTGTTTATTTGAATTCCACCACCTTCATAGTACTTCATCATTTCCATAGGTAGCTTCTGATTTCCTCCTGTCCTCTTACTAAAAGTTGACTGTGCCATTACATATTCATTTGATGAGTAAGTAGAATGCTGGTCTTCTGATTTTTATGCTATTTTTCATCACTTCTGTAAATTTTCCGCTTTAGGTGGCGATTTGGCTATTGCAGATGAACTTCCATCTTCAGTCTCATCTTCCGCCGGATCGTCTTCCTCTTCCTCCTTTTCATCCAATCGAGATCCGGAGGAGGCAGGTGCACTAGAACTCTCATCACGTNCATCACGTGGCCTGTTCACCAGTCCTCTTCCATTCATCATCGCTATTGCGGTGTTACTATTCCTCTTGTCCACCGTTGTCTTGATTTGGCTATGCACTAGACGACACCAGAAGCGCAGTCAACTTCGATTGCATCGGAAAGGTCTGATTGGTTCGGATTCGACCAAGCAATCCGGATTTCATCCGATCACCGTCACCGGTGGGGTTGGCGGAATGCATCACCTTTCCGGATTGAATGATTTACCCGGAGTCTTTGGTGGCGGCGGCGGTTGTGGTGGTGGCGGTAATCACGAAGCTACCAAATTGTTGAGCAGTCCACCTTATCCGGGTCTGACTCCCGCAACTACCACGACCACCAGTCTAGGTCAATGTGCTCCACTGGCGAATGGAGCTCACCCGTCTGCGCATTTGAACGATCCGAATCCGGTCATGAATGGCACGGTTGTTAATCTCGGTTTGCCTTATCCGGGCCGTCCTGCCGGATCCGGCGTGATATTGCCATGCAGTCCGAGCTCAAGCTGTTCGAGTCACACCAGTGTTATCGATCCGATGACCACAGTGGGATGTGCACTGACAGCCGTGTCCACTATTGCATCACCCGTGCAGCAACCACCAAGCACTAGCATGGAAATGCCAAATATCTATGCTGGCACGGATATAAGTTGTATGAGTAAGTTCCCGTCAGTGATCCCCCGGAGGAGGTTTCTTACTTGAGAATGAACTGTTGGTTTAGAGGATTGTCACATTACACAAGATCATGAAGCATTTGGCTTTTCGGCATGGATTTCAGTTTGTTTGTCTGTAGCCTTACTTTTTTCTTTTTGTATTTCTCCATGAGTTCTTTTCTTAAACCATATTTTGGTCAAATGGCAAGGCCGAAATGAAGTCAGTCAGTTTCCGTTGTACCCAGCACTGGGTGGTTGTGATTGAACGGTAAGTACGAATCCTATCTTGTCGTCCCGGTGTGTAGCTGGTTAAGCATGATCTTGATTGACTTTCAATTCTTGTGACGTTGACAAGCGATTTCCGATGTTGAGCAAATACGACCGATTGTTTGCAGATATTCAGTTTCATACCCGTTTGTAGTAAGCTACTCATGAGTAGATTGAACCTAGGATCAAATCGATATTGGCTAAAGTTGCAACTAATCTACGGGTCGTAAGTTCAACAAAATCAGGAATTCAAATAAGACATGATGTTAGGTTTTGACATAACAAAGTTATAAGGTGGTACAGAACTTATATCAAGCTCTTACTTTGCCACATGATTTTAATCTATGGTGAATTTCGTCGTGTACCGAGCAAATGAAACGTGAACTGAATTGCTCGAACGCACTGTACATAGCTGTTTCGATCTGGTTGAGTCTCATCCGCGACAGTGCGAATCCATCGACCCAAATGGGAATCGAACTCGGGCACGCAGTACAGATAGCACACGAGCACACTACCCACCAAATCACCGGGCAGCTGATGAAACCGGTTTTTTTATTTTGCCTTTACACCATATAGCACAACCTAGCTTGGCTAGCTTACTGCTGGTATCACACACCTCAACCATCACTCAGCACTGGCTTCCAGGTTTACGACTCGGTCAAAAACGTGTCACATGTTACATGACAACAGTGGAGAATTTGATTTGATCACACGGTGATATTCTTCGTGTATAGAGGAAATAATTTTAACTTAGCGATTCCATTAAACTAAATTACGATTGGTCAGCCACTATCCCAATCTCTTTTCGGTAGAGTTTTCATATTTATTACCTATTCGATTACGTGAGTACGCATTTCCGAAAACGAATGAGGACAGAGAGAGAAAGAGAATTTGGACGTTGCGCTATACACCCGGGTGTCTGTGAGACTGGTCTGTACTCATTTATTTATTCACTCAAGTTCCTTCCCCATCACCTTTCCGATTATACCGGAATTGGGAGTTTTTAACCGATGGCGTGATAGAGAGAACTGAACGAATAAATAGTCTGTTCCAACCCAACTGTCCCCCCGGCCCCCGCAACCCATGTCTGATAGGAATGAATATCGCAGGGACTCATATCAGTATCCTCGATCACGTTTACGAGCCGTGGATCATGACAAAAAAGGCTACTCAATTTTGTTCCACAAGTCTGTTTGCTATAATAAACAAACTACACATCACCCGCTCCGGGAGGGGAGGGGGGGGTGGGAAGTTGGTGAGTTACAGATAAAAAACGTAGTTTATGGGCTTTGATTAGCGCAGCAGCACCTCCGTCAATCGGTCGCTATGATCCTTGCAATTTGCTTTTATTCCTTCACCTTTTTGGCTTTTTGAAGAAGATAAAAAAAGAGAGATTGATCCCTTTTTGTTTTGAACTTATCACACAGGACTGTGCCAAACTAGGATTATTTGGTCGGTGGTATATTTGCATAGCCAGGGTTTACAAAATTTCATGGATCATAATAGATATATATGTTCGGGGTTAACGACTTCCAAATTACTTACTGTACTGAGGGTGCAGTAATATTTAAATCGTTTGTCAGTCAAAGGCAACTCAAAGTTGGCAACCATCCGCGATTGGATTAGCACACGTTACACAAAAACTGAATTTCGCCCCTGGACACTTTTATTTTTGTTTATGTAAACAAAATTCTCGTTATCATTTACTTATCCGAGTTACACAACATCTGTAATGGAACTGACGAAATCGGACATTGATCTATTACAGAGCAAAGCTTCCGAGTTTTCCACCTCGATGTACAGGTGTGGTTGTTGCGGATGCAAGCGTTGGATCTACTTTACTCTCAAAACAAAATAAACATTTCGGCTTCGCGAACGTTTTTTATGTAACTCTCCGGTTATTAAAATTCTGTTTTTTTACACGGATTCACCTATCGTAAACAGCATCAACTCCTAAGGACCATTGTGAAACGCTTAAATCTTATGTGTAATGGCTTTTGGTATCTGGGTACAGAATGGAGTTTGCTTCCCTTTATTCACTGCTACCTCACTTAGTTGCCATCCAGTAGGTTGAATGTAGCTGTTGCACACATTGAACACACTGCGAATTGTCAGCTTTTCATATCCACTGAGCCCACAACACGGACTCGAAAGTGGACATTCCAAGCCGAGAGTCCTGTGGTTGACCACAAAAATATCTGCGAGTTCTTCAGTAGTCGGTTCGAAATTACCGCACACATTTCGGATCGTCGTTCCTATTCTCATGCTCGTTTATTGGTCCTGCCTAATTTGTCGCAGTTTTGACAGGTCTGTTTCTTGGCGGTGATTGACAGAGACCACTGTTATCGCTCCTAGAAGTCACGTGCATCACTAACCCTTGTTTTTTCTTTGAAGTAAAAGGGAATCTGATTGAAACAACGGGATTGCATCAAGGAAAAGAACGAATGTAAACTTGATCTAAGCATGTCACACGGATTGGTGCAAACATGGTGGAAGCGTACTAACCACTCCATATTAATTTGTTGCGCTAAGTCACGATCGATACACAAACCAGTCACGTGTCCAATAGCTGGACAAGAAATTAGGCTGCGAAGCGTATATTCGATAGTTTGCTATGCTTTATTTCGTACACTACTGACAGGGAACGCGTCGATGAGTCGATCTCGGTCAAGGGGGTTTGGGGAGGGGGTGGTGGTGGTGGTGGTGAATGATAACGAACCTCCAGTACGGGAGGAGCTCATTGTAACCATTGAAGACCGTTTAGTTGTTTTACGTTACTATGATTATCAGACATGACAATCACAATCCAACTTTTGCTTTGAGCTCGAGACAACAAATACTCGATGAATATGACCCTGTCGATGATTCGATTGATGCGGGATGAAACGGCTCTTCAATGAAGTTCGGGCATCGGAGTTGGTTTGTGTGTGAATGTGGAGGAGAGGGGGGGGCGTACTCCCGATATTAAATTATGAAGAATTTTCTAATCCTTTTTTGTCTGATGAATTTAAATGTGTACGGTGTGTGTGTTGTTAAACTAGCCGAAACTTTAAATTTACGCACATCTGATCTTGTGTTTTTCTGGCCGTAGGTTAGCACGTGCTACCGGTTTGGCTGATGTGTGGTAGGATCCTCATCATCGAATAATTATCTCAGGAAAATAAATACAATCTGGTGCAAAATAATGCCCGATACATTCTTATAAGGTTCTTATAAGGTTTCTGCATTTTGATATTACAAACACTACTCTTTCTTTCTGTCGTCTGTCCCACCGGTGCGTGCGCAGCTGGCGGTTCCAGGTCGTCACAAATACCAATCGGCTATACGCCTGCTTTCATCGCACTACCCACGAACAATCCAGTCGGTGGTTTTGTCCTACAGCCGATCCATTTTAGTCCGACCGGACCACTAAGTCCAGTCCATCTGGGTACACCAGATACAGGAAGTCTTTATACCAGTATACGCCTGAGTGCTACACAAACACCCCTGGTAAAAAGTTCAGCCACTTCGATGGGACCGTCGGAAAATGAGATGACTCCCCCTAGACCAAATCGAACCGATAGTAAACCATCGAATAGAGATGCTAATTGGGGGAGAGCGAATGGTCGTCGTATTGGCGGTTTGCACGGCAGTGAGGATACTGATGACGATGTAACCGATTTGCACGACGACTCAGCCCCAGCAGCCATCGAATCAGAGAACGCAAATCAGCACCAGGAGTCGTCAGTCACTGAAAATGGAGAAGACAGTCGGGATGATATTTGTCAGACGTGCATTGCACAAAATCAAACACCGGGCATGGAGTCCACATTTGTGCCTAACTCGACCGAATTGAATCCACGATATAGTGGTGATGGGCAAACCTTATCAGAAGAAATGACA